CTTAACTAGGGGCAAGGAGCTTGGCGCTGCCACCGGGTAGAAACAAGGTGCCGGGCCGGATAAAACAAGGTGGAGGGCCGGGTTCGGCCCAGGGGCCTTGTGTTTGACACCTGTGACCTAGAGGGTCTATCTGCCCGCCCCCCCCCCCTCACCCTGCCCCAGCCCTTCATGACTACCAGTCCTTTCTTCTCTCCCCTTTCTGGAAGTGAGGACCCCGAGGGACAGCAGCTCCTCACAGAGGCTGAGAGGGGCCAGGTAGGGGGGGGCCTGCCGTGTGCGTGCAGGGCTGGGGGCTGCAGTGCGTCAGCGGTTCTGGCCGCAGACAGGCCCGAGGACCTGTGGCTCTCAGAAAGTACATGGTCAGGTTTGAGGCTCAACCTGCTGAGAGACGTGGGGATACAGGGTCAGGGAGGCAGGTGGGCTGGGGAGAGGCAGCCCCGCCCCAAGTTCCAGACAGGAAGAGGCCAGCCCAAGCCAGGGAACAGGGGGAGGACATGGGGAGATGCTGCAGGTGGCAGCTCCGTGACCAGGACAGAATTATTTTATTTGTGAGGCCCAGGTACTGGGTCTTTGGTAACCCACGAGGCAGCAGGTCCTCCTGCCCCTAAGGAGGAGGTCAGCTTGGCTAAGCGTCCTTGTGGGAGTCCTGTTCCCTCCTGCAGACTTGTGCTCACACCCTGGCCCCCTGCTCTGTCTGGGCTTGTAGCTGGTCCTTTGTCTCCTCCCAGGCATTGGCCTCATCAGGATCCTGTCTCCTTTCTCTACGTCTGCACTACACTGAAAAACAAACAACTCTCTCACACTCTCTGGAGCAGAGGGTTCCAGGTCTTTCCTGGGGGGCATGCCTTGCTTAGCCCACAGCACGGGAGCACGCCCTGCGCCCGCAAGGACCTGCCTCCTCCTAGAAAGGCCCCTGCCCACCCTAGTCCCGCTAATGCGGAGGTTAGCCTCTTCCGGAACCGGAACCGGAGCCGCCTGCCCAAGCAGCTCCGCGGTTACACACCTGGGCCAGCGGCTTCACCCTCCTCACAGCGGTGTCTCCCCGACAGTGTCTGAAACCTCACTCCTGCCTCCGAGGTCTTTATTCCTGAGACTCAAAATACAGGGCACTCGGTCTATCATTTTCTAACTTTTTTCACGTAACAGAAACATTTTGCCCACAACCAGACTTCATGCAGGAACCCCAGTGCCTATACAGCAGTAAAAACAACGGCTCAGCTGAGTCTGCAGGAGGCGGAGGGAAGGAGAGCTCTCAGTCCTGGGCTCAGATTCTACCGCCTGCCCCGCCCCCCGTGGCCACACACACCTGCAACTCCGAGGGATGGAAGGCACCCAGGGCCCTGGAGAACGGAATGGAAAATAATTAAAATGTCTCTTCGACCAATGTCAGGACTTTCAGCTTAACTCTTAGTAAGATAGATGCCAATTAGAACTGCACTGAGTTCCTCTTTTGCTCCATCAGATTAGCAAAGATCCAGGAGGCTGGGAATGCTCCGTTTTGGCACCGGTGCAGGAAACAGGCACTCTTGTGCATTGTAGGCGAGAATCTCAACCGATGCACCATCCGCGAGGGCAGTTTGGCAGTATCTGTAGTATACCACACATGACCACAAGTTCCACGGGCGGGACTTCATGCTGCAGCTAATCTCTGCACGAAGAACGTGACCTGGAGCATTGTTTGTGAACAAACTCGACATCCGTCAATGCGCCGGGTTAACTGAATGGTGTGCCCCTTCAACGGAACATTTCAGAGCCACGAAACTACGGAAATCTTTTATGTTGATCAGGAAAAGATCTCCTAAACACTTGCTCAACAAAATCAATCAATCGATCAAACACTTTCACAGCCAAACAGTTTTCTAAAAGAAAGGGTTTTTTGAGTCAAATGCTAGCCAGAAGAGGACCGGCCCCTGGGGCAGGCAAGTCTGAACCCCCAGCAGCGGACGGGGTAGGAAGGACACACGTGTCCTGGAGCCCATTCTGGAGTGAGCGGGCTTCTTCATTATGTACTTGGTTTGGGGGAGGGAGGATACTTGTGTTTTGAAATAATTTACATTGGCTGCCGGTAAGGGGGGCGGGAAAAGGTCCAGTGGGGGCAGTTCTCTGATAGGTGCACAGTCTGTAAGGAAGACATGCTCACTACTTTTGATTGGACGCAGGCAGCAGCCCTGAAAGTCCGAGCGGATGCGGGTGCAGCGGCCTCTGGTGGCTGAAGCAGAGATTGGTTCAAAGCTCCCCACACACCTCTAAGGCGTGTGAGCAGCTGCTGCGCAGGTGTTCCCCAGTCATTACCTGGGTAGAGCCGCCTTGTCTCTTTCTCTCCCTCTGCAACCAGCTGTGATGTAATTTAGGGCACCTCAGAATTTTTCTCTTTTCACACACATTGCTAAGTGAAGAGGCAAAGTCACAGAACAGTGTGCAAAGCATGTTGCTCTTTGTGTGAAAATAAGTGTGGGAAGAGTACAGAAGGACCGGTTTGTAGTTGCATAGAGTATTTCTGAAAGTTTAACAAGCAACTGTAACTCTGGCTTCCTGTAGAGGGGATGAGGCAGTGAGGGAAAAGAGATGGAGGAAAACTTTTAATTGTATGCGCCATTGAATTTTGAACCGTGTGATAGATAGCATATCCTATTCAAAACTTGAATTAAAAATTATATAGGAACAAAGAACTAAAAGAAAACAGTTTTATGAGCTAAAATTAAGACTGGTCTTAGTCTCTTGCTTTAATGGTACACGGAGTGATTTGTTCTCTCAAAGAACCCAAAGTCAAGAAGCAAATTCTATTTTTAAATATTTTCCAAAGTTGCTCCATAAATAAGCTTCCAGACTTCTAAGCTCAGGGAGTCCTAGGACGCCCGGCTCCTGCTTGGAGCGCAGGTATCTACATATGACCCCTTTTCTTGGGCTCATCAAACAGCTGAGATCGAATTCTGCGCCCCCGCCCAGCAGGACGGGATGCAGGGACTTGCTTCCCTGGTGCAGCTGGGAAGAAGAATGCCACCCAACTTTTTAAGGAATTGGCGTTTTTACCACACGCTAAAGGCCAAGTAGGGGACCTGCATGAATGTGTGGATCCCTCGGGAGATGAAGACATGAAGGAAATCCACACCCACCGCTCTCTTCTCCACAGACCACGCTGCACGTCCACAAGAAGGACTGTGGGGTTGGGGAGACACCTGAAGAAAGCCTCGCTTGGTTCAGGTCTGGGGGCTGGGGGGAAACCAGTGCTCCAGGAAATGCATGAAGTTCCACATGGATCTTTCTCCCCAAATCCCTTGTGGAAAAAAATCAGTAAGTCTTTGGGAAAAGAGCAGCAAAGTGCATTATCCTTGGGGCCCAGGAGGAGACCTGCTGCAGCTGGGACGGGAGAAGAGTAAAACCCTCTCTACCCCTGTGGGGGAGTGGGCGGGCAGAAATACCTCCAGACAGGGAGTCTCCTGCAGATGGAGGCAGAGGGGATGGATGATCACTGAAGTATGGTCCCCTGCAAGACACAGGGACACCGCAGCTGCCTAAGAGGGAAGCCGAAAGCCCCAGCTCCACCCCAGCCCCAAGCCCAGGCTAACAAGCGCTGAGTAGTGCTAACAGCAATCTATCGCCAGGGGAAGATCAAGAGCATGGAGAGACATTTTCTCTAAGATACAGGCACAAAGGGCACCCTGAAGTTTGGGCTTATTAAGTCAGGTCATTCCGAATTGATACGTACATTTGGGTTCACTGCAGTAAACTCCCTGCAATATTTTCAATGGAAACTGACGAGCTAGTGGCCACACTAATATGGAAAGGCAAAGGAGTTTGGAGAGCCTGCTCTCCCGCCCTCGCCCGGGGCTCCTCACACTGAGTGGGTGTTCGGTGAAGCTGAAAGTTGAAAGTTAACAAATGCCCTTATTATATGAAATGCTAAAGGGACTTATCCAAGAAAAAGAAGAAGATCCGAACTATGAACAGTAAAATGACAGCAACTATCAACTCACAACTATCAACAACTGAACCTAAAAAACAAGAACAAAAACGAACTAAGCAAACAACTAGAACAGGAACAGAATCACAGAAATGGAGATCACACGGAGGGTTATCAGTGGGGAGGCGAAGGAGGAGAATGGGGGAAAAGGTACAGGGAATAAGAAGCATGAATGGTAGGTACAAAATAGACAGGAGGAGGGTAAGAATAGTATAGGAAATGGAGAAGCCAGAGAACTTGTATGTACAACCCGTGCACATGAACTAAGGGGTGGAAGGGCGGATGCTGGAGGGAAGGCAGGTACTGCATGGATGGGAACAAAGGGGAGAAAAAAAAATGGGACACCTGTAATAGCATGATCAATAAAATATACTTTAAAAATAAAATAAAAATAAATGAAATGTTTTTAAAAATCAATAAATAACCAAACCCACAGTTTCCTCAGTGCTTTTCTCTCTATTCCGTCTGTCCAGCCACCTTCTGTCTGTCCAACCTGCTACGTAGGCCTGAGTTGACCCCAGAGGGTCTCGGTGTTGCTGAATGAGGCCGGCCTCCTTGCGTGTGTGTGTGTGGGGGGGGCAGGGTATGCACATGTGTGCATGCGTGTGTTTATGGCAGACGCAGAAGCAGGAAGAAATGAGTAGAAACAAGAAATTCTCTTCTTGGAGGGGAAGAGCCAGAAATGGCATCTGTTCAGAAACACGCTGCCTCTCTCACAGACAAATACAGCAATGTGAGCAGAGGTGTGGCTGAACGGTGCTGTCAGAACAAATCTGGGAAGAGCCACTTGAGCAGGCGGCCGCTGCTGGCTCTCTCCTTGCTGTCCCGTCCCCTGCGTTCCCAGACAACGGTCAGGAGGAAGAGCAAGGTGGGGAGGGGGCGGGCAGTGCTCTGCGTCCCCAGCACCCTGGCCAAGCGGCGGAACAGCAGAAGCAACGACGCTCTTTAAAGGGCTGCTGGCCAGAAGGTCCGGGTCACCAGATGTCCCTGTCCAGGGAAGAGCCCAGAAGTCACTTCTCCCTGTGACAGGGGAGCACAGCGCAGGAGGCCGGCCCCACGGACCCTCACTCACCAGGTGCGGTGGCTGGAGCTGGTCACCGGAGCTAAGAACGCGTGACTTGAACCCCAATGTGCCATTAAAACCATTGGCCACCAGCACAGCAGAGGCACCTGCCGGCCAGAAAATGGACTCAGCCCTCGACAAAGGCTGGGCATGGTGGCGCAGCATTTCCTGCCGGCTCAGACCCACATGCAGTCGATCCTTCCAGCAGCCCTGGGAGGCAGATAGTGTTGTCCCAGTTTTCAGGCGGCGAGACTGAGGGCCGGAGCGGTTCAGTGATTCACGCAGGGTCCCACAGCAGGTCGTGCCAGAGCTGGCCTCCCCCTCTTCTGGGACGGCCAGGGAAAACCCCCTGGCCTCACGGCTGCTCCACGAGAAGGGGTGAAGTCCGCTGACGCCCCGGTTCAACCCTGCCTGTCAGGAGAAGTCCCGGCTAGCTGTGGCCGCCCACGGGCAGCCCCTGGTCCAAATTCTTGCGGGGACAGAGTGGTCAGACTGTCACAGGTCCTGTAGGAGGGAGCCACTGTGAGCTCCTCCGAGTCTCACGTTCCTCTTGCCCGCACCTCAGCCTGGACCCCCCTCCAGTGCCCCAAGCATCTGTCCCTCCAGTGCTACTGCAGGCCCGGGACACCTCTCTTACCTGGCTAAGCAACAGCACCTCAGCTCACGGGCTCCAAGCTCTGGTGAAAAGCTTCTTAACGTCTTCTGGACCTGTGGAGCCAGACAGGCCTGGGTTCAAATCCCACTGCCTCTCCCCACATTTGCAGCCTTGGGAAAACCAAGGCCCTCCGTTAGTTTTCCATTGCTGCTGAAGCAAATGAGCACAAACAGTGCCTTAAACGACACACTGTATCATCTCTGAATTCTGGAGGAAAGTGGACAACATCAGCCTCCCTGGACTAAGGCCAAGGCGTCTGCAGGGCTGTGCCCCCTCTGGCTCCAGGAAGAACCCCTTTGGCTCGAGGCCTCACATCACTGGGACATCTGCCTCTGCCATAGCTCTGCTCCCCTTTCTCTGACCCCTGGCCCTCCTGCCTCCTGCTTGTAAGGACCCCTGTGATTACACTGGGGCATCCGAGTAATCCAGGATCCCCCTCCTTCCCCAAATCCTTCATCACACATGCAAAGCCCCTGTGTCACGTCTGGGAACCTGGTTGGACACCTTTGTGGGGAGCATTATTCAGCCCACCACACCTCGATGCCCTCACCTATAAACCAGGATGCCAGTCTGGACCTCACAGGGTGCAGAGAGAGCAAATTTCGTTTGTTTTGCGGTGCTCCGCCCATACCTGGCAGGAAGTTGAAAACAGGGTCAGGAAAGGTGGCCCCTCCCGCTCTGGGTTGCTCTCTCTGGAGTGGCTGGTGCTTGTCCCAGACCTGGCTCTCAGCAGGGCCTTCCAGAATCCCCGCGGAAACGAGACGCCATGGTGACGGACGGCTCTGACCCCCAGCTGCTGGGGCTCAGCTGTTTGCACACTGAAAGGTTTCTAGGCAGCGGTGGGAGGGACTTGAGCAAAAACATGGAACGGTATGTTCAGGGACATAAATTCAAAGTGGTTCTTGCTGGGAAAGCTGAACAGAAAATAATTCCATCTGTGTTCCCCCATCCGGGTTGCTCTCTCCCAGGTCGGCTGGGCGGAGACTCCCTCCCGAAGCCCAGCTGGGGGCTGAGGCCACGTCCTCTGTCTGCAAGGGCCTGAGCCCTCTCTGTCCCCAGCAGTTGTCCTGCTCGCTGCCCAGATCTGGGTGGGGCGGGGGTGGGGGGGGGGGTGACAGCTCCAGGTGACAGGGGCTGGAGCAGTAAGTGGCTAGTCCAGGAGCACAGACCCCATCTCCTGGGAAGGGAGTCACAGCCCCCGGGGGCTGGGCCCTCGGTAGGGGCGGCCTGGGGCAGGGAGGGGGGCCAACCCCCTCCTGACACGCCCTTCACAGGGAGGCTCCCACCCGCTCAGTGTGAACCCGTTTTCATTCGGCCCTCTTCTTGGTAAAACGCCTTTCCGCACGCCCTTCAAGAAATGCAGATTCATTTTCAAATTGTACGGCATAAATTACTACATGGATATATCATACACATTAAAACTTTCAAAATATAAAAGTAGGAAGGTACAAAGCTATAAACAAACATAAACAGAAGATCAATAGTTTGATCCTGCGTGGGAACCAGTGAATGGGTGGGGTGCCCCACTCTGAGGCCTCCGCTACTGAAACTACACTTGCAGTCGCAGCTCCTCTGTCCTCCTGAACCTTGATTGGCTCTCCGTGTTCGGCTCAGTGCCCACCTCTCCCCGCCAGCAGGGTTGCTGTCTTGCGTCTCCACCTGGCTTACAAAGTGGCCAAAGACTAAGAGCGAAGCGCATGGTGCCCAGCTGCTGCCTGAGAAGTCATTCAGTAAATACGTTCTGGACTTCAAGCCCAGCTCTGGGGGAGGCTCCGTGGGTTCGAGGAGCAAGACGCAGCCTCGCCCTCACAGAGGGAGCTCCCCCCAGCTGCAGGGTCTGAACTGGGCTTGTGGGTAGCTGGGTCCTTTGAGGCAGACGAGCAGAGGAAGGGAGTCGAGCAGAGGAGGAGCACGAGCAAAGGCCCAGCGGCTGCAGGGGCCCGAAGTGAGCCTGATGTGTTTCGGGTGTGGTCGCTGGGCAGTTACGGGCTGACTCGGGCAGGAGTGGGAGGAACGGTGAGAGAGAAGGCGGCGCTGGGCAGGAGGTGGGCCGCTGCGGCTCCAGGCAGGAAAAGTGTGTGGTCAGCCCTGCTCTGTGGCTTCCCCACCCTCGGGGTCCACTCGGAGTGCCCTTCCCTCCACCCTCCCCAGCAGAGGGTAGGAAGGGGACCAGAGGGCTGGGGAGGAAGCATCTCTCCGCCCTCTCCCGTCTCCAGTGAGAAGGACGCAGCCAAAGCCCGAGGCTCTGAGATCTGGGTTTTATCTGTAGACAGGCCCACCCGTCCCCACCCAGCCTTCACTAGCTGCCTTGTGAAGCCTCTGGGGGCTCCAGGTTCCAACAAGGGGCTTCCACCCCGCTGCCCTCACAGCTCTGCACGGAAAGCCTGCTTCTAGGCCAGTGGCCCCCCTCCCCACACCCTTACCCCAGGGGCCCCGCCCCTTCCCCCGCTCCCTGAGGTAGGGGCTTGTGTTCTTTCAGCTTCGGGCTCAGAGCCCTGGCGATGCCCAGGAGCTGGGAGCCTCCCCAGCTGAGCTGGCCGCATTTGCTTTGAGTGAAGGAACTTAAATGCTTTCGTAAAAGGCCAGGGAATGGAAGGTGTGGGGACACTGGCCCCTGAGGCCGGAGGTGGGGGCTGCCCACAGGAAGAGGGTCCATAAGGAGGGAGACAAGGGCCCCCCAAACCATTCCCCTGATGCACCAGGGACCACCTGCCTGGGGCCGCACACCTCAGTGCTTTAGGCCTCAGCGTGGGAGGGAGTGGGCGGGAACTGGACACAGGGCATCAGATTTGGGGAAGTTGGGAAAAAGTCATTTATTGTTTCTTCCCAGATCAGTGAGACAGAGGAGCATGGAGGGGAAAGGAGAGCTGCCTGGAGGTGCCTGCTGGGGCTGCATCCCGGTGAGCCGTGCGCTCTGTGTCGTCAAGGAGGCGCAGAGAGCAGACTGCAGACGCGTGCGGGTGGGTTGTCCAGGGTTGCAGGAGGAGCGTCGCGTGTGAGAGAAGTCTGCAGCAAGGGTCAGCATGGTCCATTGAAAAGCACAGGCTGGAGAGGCCCGTGCAGGTCCACTTCAGAATGCCCCCACCCATGCACCCCAAGTCAAAGGCGCCCCCCGGGGGGGTGGCCTCTTTCTGTGCACTGGCTCTGGGTGGTGCAGGCACAGGGGCGAGGAGGGCCTCCGACACCGCTGCAGGAACACTGTCACTCCACCTGGGCAGGGGCAGCTGGCACGGGAGAGCCTGCAGGTGGACTCTGTGGTCCCCGTGTTCAGAGACTCAGAGGCAGGAGCTACTACACAGCCCAGAAGTTTCACTGAGCCTTGGGGTGGGGGTGGGGATCCACCCGAGGATGGGACTGGGTCAGGCCCCAGGAAAGGGAGTAAGGGCTGCCAGCGTTGGCTCCTTCCATGGTCCCCTGGGACCCGGCTTTGGGCCCCTTCCCTGGGCAATGACGAGGGTGGGCTGTGTGCCCTCCGGGGTCCCTCCCAGCTCTGGTGTTCGTGGCTCTGTCTGGGCTCATCCAGGCCCTGCTCTGCCCTTGTCATCTTCCAGCCTGAGCCAAGAGCCCACCAAACCGTGTGCCAGCTGAGAGGGGACTGGGCACCGCCGTGGGGCTTTGGAGAGATTGCAGAAAAGGAGCAGCCTCCTGCCTGAGGAGGAGCAGGGGTGGGCTGGACCCTGTGCCCCGCCCCCCCCGTGGGTGCTGGGAGAAAGTGCCGCCCTCTCTTCAGCTCTGAGGTCTCCATGGCCTTCATGAGTGACTCCAAAAACAAACCATCAGAGGGAGGAACAACCAACCGCTGTCCCAAAATAGCTCTCCTAAGCTCTGTGGCTGCCTGGTCCCATGCCTTTGCAACAGAGGGGTTATTTTGACAGGGCCCAGCAGGCCACCTGAGGGGCTGGCAGCGTGCACTCGAGGGCTGGCTGGGTCAGAGGTGAGTGTTTGGCCTTGAGGCAAAACATCAAGTCCCACGGACCCAAGATGGAAGGTTGCCAACTTGCTTTTGCAGCTCTCCCTGGTGGAGGGACAGATGAAGGGACAGACTCTGGGGCTAGAGGCCCTTAGATCTTAAGTCAGTGGGAAAAATAAGAAGAAACATTTGTCCTCGCTGGTCACCAGGACTTCGAGCAGAGAATCAGCGCTGCGGAGCTCGGCGGAGCCGGCCACCGGGGACCCCACTGCTCCAGAGCAAAACAGTCAGGAGTGAGAACCCAAGTGGCTGAGATGTAGGGCGCTGGCGGACTCACGTTACAGCCCACGGGCCCAGGATTCAAGGGGTCTGCGAGCTTGGATGGGAAAACATTTCAAATCTGTATTTTCATTCATGTTCGGCCCAAACGTAGCACTGCCTGCTATGAAGACAGTGGGCAACGAGCCTCAGACGTTTTAGCAGCGTCTGTGACTTGTTACCAGTGGAAACCACAGACGCTTTTTCACATCACAGTGCACTGGTTGCAGATATCTTAAATTATTGCTTATACCCATCGCGACTTTGGAATTATTGGTGGTTGGCAGACCCGTTTCTAGATCTTGCCGAATGTGTTGAGGCATGTGGGATACAATATGACGAATTGGAGAGTTTGAACAATATTTTGGTCATTGCATTTCAATGTAATTCCTTTCCTTTCAATCCTTTCAATCTCCTTGCAATCCTATGTATACCCTCTTTCATGCACTTAAGCACACTGCTCTGAGGAGGGGGTCAGAGCTTCTCCAGACTGCTTTAATGAAGTTAAGGATCCACTTTCCTGCATCCCCTGGCATCACACTCCAGCCCAACCAGCCAGCGTGCTGGGTGTGGGGCTGGGAAGGTTATCTGGTCCTGCAAACATCGCTTTGCGCAAACCAAAGTGTATCAGGGAGCTCAGCCCCTACTGTGAAGGTGCGGCTGCTCTGGCTGGATTCCGCAGGATGGGTGTCTTAGAGCTACCTTACCCTACCACCCACCGCTCCCCTTCCCACCTTCCCGGGAGAGCCCCATGGACTTCTAGGTTTGCACAGAGCACATCTGCCAGTCATCAGCCTACAGCAGCCCCCTCTTGGGGATCAGAGGGGCAGTGCAAAGCTCATACCTTCCCATCCCGCTCCATCCAGGGAAGTCCTGCCTGTGGGCGGGTCTGGCGTTGGGGTCACTGAGATATCAGTTTTAAGCTCCAGGTGAGGCTTCCCGTGTGCGCTGGAAATAAACCGGGAGAGAGAGAGTGTCCTAGCCCAGGATACTCTTCACTGGGAGCTTTGGGTTCAAACACTGGTTCCACCACTTACCAGCTATGTGGCCTCGGTTTTCTTCTGTCAATTTGTAGTAATAGTAGTCCCACCTTAGAAGGTTGTTTGGGGGCATTCAATGAACTGATACATGTGGAGAGCTTCACTGGCCCAGTAAATTCCTTCTGCAGCCTGACCCTTTTCTCTGGGTAAGAGGTGGGCACCCGACACTGCCTCCTCCATCCCACCCACCCTCCCCATACTCTGCCTCTGAGGTGTCTCCCTGGCAGGGGTCACCTGTGATCTGGTCTTCACCATCCAGACCTGAGACACTTAGTCCTTCCCATCTTTCCAAACATGTCACCTGCGCTCACGGGGTGTTTTGGCAGCAGCGGCAGCAGCCGCTAACCCAGACAGCACACACTGTAGCTATTATCTAATCATCTAATAATTAGCCTGACATTTACAAAGGGCCTCGAGGGCCTGAGGATGACAGCGCTGTTTTCAAATGCAAGGGTTTGGTAATTTCGCACCTGTGCCGGGCAAGATGCCAGCAGAAGGG